TTTTCTTCTGCCTACTTCCTTCCCGAAGTTTTTCGGGGTGGCGAGGTGGGATGTCACGCTTTGAGCCGGCGTGCATTCTGTTTAAATGCCACATAAGCCCGATGAAGATACGGCTGACACGCAAGTCCACACCCCGCTATAAGGTTGCTTGGCCTTTCATTAGACCCCCCGAACCCGAACTCTTCTTACCCTATGGGTCATTGGAACATTGGAACATTGTATCTAATGGGAATAAAAGCTCGGGCTTTACATGACCCATAGGGTAAAAAGAGTTCAGGTCGGGTCTAATGAAAGGTCAAGCAACCTTATAGCGGGTTGGACTCGCGTGTTAGCCGTATCTTCATCGGGCTTATGTGGCATTTAAACAGAATGCGCGCCGGCTCAAAGCTCGAGCTTTTATTCACATTAAATACAATGTTCCAATGTTCCAAAACGTTTATAACAAGGAAAATACTCTTTTTAGCTGTTAGTTGAATTTGCATTTCGCGCGACTGACTTGTGGAACGCTAGGGAATTTCACAACAAAAATGCAAGTTTTCACTGCTGAGGAGCCGATCTGTACATGTAATTGCTATTAAGTAGTGAATTTGTGCATGTTTTGAGTTCACTACATGCCAAACTACTGCAGGTTCGACGACAACATAGCTTATTGATTGGCTGTTATTTGCAATCTTTGTTTGTTCTTTTTTGAGACACCATTTTAATGGAGCGTCAAGGTCGCGTCGCCAACACTTATCAGAGGGCTGCACGTCCATCCACTTCTACAGTAACTGGACGAGGATCTTCCCGTGATAGTTCTAGTTATAATCTCGTGGTCCGCCGAAGAAAGGCTCTGTTAACTCGCCCGCCTTTGGATCATGGCCGTAGTCATCAAAACATCAAACCAACATACCGCGATGTTTGCGGCGTCCGAAGTTCCCATCGCAAGCAGCCTGAATATTCTAGTGTTTGTCGCACTTCTGATTCTGTCAGGTAATTCTCGTGATCTCTTTTGTGTTGTATGAAGATACCATATGGTCGGCCATTTTGCGCTGACGGAGCAGGCGTCGACTTCTCTAAATCAGACGACTTGACTCAGCGTCGAACCTACCATGCGGGATTGACCGTTATGTTCCCGCCCGTGTTACGAGCGGCAAAATATGGTGGCTACTGCTGTTAGTGCAAGGTCGGGTTGCTTCGTACCTGTGACGAACCTATTGCCTTTTTGTCAGCTACAGTTAGATGAGTCAGAAACGCCACTTTGACTTAAATTGTGTGAGCTAGGGCATCGTTGACATAACTTCGGACATTGAACAGTGCCTTCAGTCAACGGCGGTCCCAAGTTCTATGGGATTCACCTGCCATCCCTGCACTCACCCGTCACGTACAACCACAAGAACCGAAGTTTTGACCCCGTGCTGTTGGTCTTTATATTCGACATTTAGGCACTGGTCAGACATTCCTGAAAGTTGTGCATACAAAGGATACGATTTTGCACACTGCAACTTTAAACTAACCTACTTGTAAGCAGACTCCTTGTAGGAGCCGTGAACGAAAACGTTACTTCTACTGCGGGATGTGGTCTCACTACCCTAAGGTTCCTCTCGGCTTGGCCCTTAGTCGCCTCCGTACACCTCATAGTATCGAGCTGCTTTGTGTAACGTATGTGGATTTCTTCGCAACTTCCAATTGCTCGGCTTACTCTGTGGAACATGTATGCAGATTCGCAGTGCTTCAGTCTGTTCGCAGCATTTTCCTTTGCTTACTCCGAGAAAGCGCGCTAGCAGAAACACCTTGGTTCCATTTTTCGTTGCTATCCCGTTGGTTGAGCCTACAGTACATGTTCGCTGCTCGCGTCATCTTTCCCGTTCAGTCGCATTAGTTACTGCGACAGATTAGTATCAGACATGTGCATAATCTCGCTTTCATCAAATACTTCATTTCCTGTTCTGGAAGTGCCATTTCTGCTGCATGTTTTTGCTTCTGCTTGTCATCGTCGATTAAAATCACTGGTATCGCAAACGGCCCATGTTGGTTTAACGGGTTGAAGTGTTCTCTGGGAGAAGTACGATTTGAAATTACTCAAGCGTGTGCCCCTAATCGGTTTTGGGATTCCAACACTGTGGCATCCATACCACCAGTCGTTTTCGTCTCGGAAAATTACGAAATTATCCTTCAAGCAACACAGCTGTGCAACTTCGGAAACAGCTTATTGTGAGAGTCACGTCGTACACCACCATTTGTGCATCGTCTGTGGTAAACCGTTAGTTCGTTATCGCGCATGAATCGGTGAATATCTTTCCATGGAGAGCTTTACAGCAGTCCTACTGATGTAACCCCATATGATAACCTGAACAAGCAGTTTTTCGACCTTAAATGGTAACATTGGTATCGCACCTTTCAGTTGATAACCATCCTCTTCATGGAGCTTCCCGGTAAGTCTAATAATCAGCCTATTTGCAATCGTTCGTTCGATTGCGATTGACTTTAACATGGAGCTTACGCTAAACCCAATGTATCTAGGAACTAGCGGAGAAGGCACCTGTTTAATACCATTATTTGGCTTGTTGTTTTATTATTCTATGCACGTGCTGCATAGAAGCACACTCGATTTTCGGTACGATAGCGTAAGGTCGATGTCTTATAATATCGATTCGGTCTTTGCATTCCTTCTTGTTGGGCGCGTTTGGCCACAGATGAGGTCATGTTCCACGATGGAAACGGGCTCTTGTCTAACGAGCGTCCCGTTTCTTGTATTGACAAGCAAACCATGGCACTCGGCACTTCTACCTTTCAGTCGGTCCCCTTACCTCTGCAAGAGAAGTGAAACAAGAACAACCTTACTTGCTTTCTTAGATCATGGGCTACGATGTCTCAGCGATATTGTGCAATAACTTTGCAATACTCTCGGAGAAAGGCCTGGTCAACTTATGTGGACATTTTGAAGGCTTCTACTGTATTAAATAATAATAGTGTGTCAGCTGTACACCATAATGGCGTTTCGCTGCAGTGCGACCACCACCAGTCGCACTGTCGCAACGAGACTGGACCTTAACGTGGTGCGACGGTTTGCGTACCTCATTGACCCATTGAGCTATACTGGGTGATGCCTCCGAGCATCTTGAGATTACTCCTACCAGGTTGGTCAATGGTGAGAGGTCAGACAAACTCAGTCTCCTGGTCCTCCAGGTTGGGGGGTTGAAATGGGGTGGCGTCCATTTCTGTAAAACTAAATCACTGCCACCCCGCTGCCTTGCGGACAGGCCTTTGAGCCAAAGGCTTTGGATGAGGACCCTAATCGTTCTCCTGTCTAGGTCTGGGCGCCCTGACAGTATCTCAGCCCACATACAACCATGACATTTTCTTCAAACATAAGCTTCATCCTGCATCAGCCGTCGCGCAGATTATCAAGGGTCGCCTTATCTGCTGAATGCAGCAGGGCGAATAAGCGAAAACATGCTACTGCTGGCGCCTCCCTTCTTTCTTTTCCACCTTTTTCTCTTACTCCTATCTCGGCCCCCATTATTAACCTTCCTTCTATAATTCCCGGCTTAATTGACAGCAACCGAAGTGCCACTGGAGTAGAACCATCTGCAGCCACCATCCCACAGCACCTATCGGACGCCTATCGGCAAAAGTTCCTTATAAGGCCACGCTGTCCCGTTTCCATGGCGACATTCAACGTTTGCACTCTAAGACAAACAGGCCAGAAAGCTGCACTCGCACGCACCTTGGACACACTGGGTATTGATGTGTGTTGTGTGTCCGAAACTAGGATTAATGACCCTAACGGGGTTATCGAATTGACTGCACCCGGCTTATCCTCTCGTTATTGGTTGCACGCATCCGGAGACGCCGATGCGACACTCACGGGTCAAGCTGGTGTAGGTGTCATTCTCAGCTCCAAGGCTGAGTCATCGTTGGTTAATTGGATTCCGGTGAACAGCCGTTTATGTGCAGCCCGTTTGACGACATCAGTTAAGGTGAATTTGCGAAGTAAAACAAAACACTGTTTGTTTGTGATTTCTGCTTATGCTCCCACCGACTGCAGTTCTAATGCAGTCAAGGACTCTTTCTATCACGAACTGAACACGCTGCTACGCAGTGCTACTAGTTCAGATATTATAGTACTTGCTGGGGATATGAACGCACAAGTAGGGCGTCTGAGCTCTTCAGAAGCTCAGCTGGGTGGTAAGTATGGACTTAACGTCGAACGGACTGACAACGGCGAGCGTCTGCTGCAACTGTGTGCGGAGCACCAGTTGTTTCTTACTAGCACTGCTTTTAGACACAGTGGGCGCCGAAGTGCCACTTGGCGTCCACCTGTAGCTGGTCAGCGATGGACCCAAATTGACTACATAGCCATAAGTTACAGGTGGCGCGGTTCCATTCTGGATTGCCGCTCGTACTGGAGTACCTGTGTCGACTCTGACCATGCCTTGGTGCGCTGTCGTTTCTCCATGAACTTTACCGGAAGGCGCACAAAGCGTCTCCCCCGATTGGCAACGGAGAAATTGTCCCATACCTCTGTCAGGCAAGCCTATCAAGAAGCACTGCATAGCGAACTCTCGCTGTCTTGTCCTGACGATACTGATCTTCAGTGGAATAGGATCTCGGCCACTATGCACGACGCAGGAGCATCTGTTTGTGGCACTATCAGTCGTCATCGCACCAGTCACTAGATATCCGAGAGGTCCGTGAACCTTTTGGAAGCTAGAAGGCACCTCCCGGCTGGTTCTGAACACAATGTGACCAGACGGGCTATTAGGCGTGAACTAAAGCGGAGCCTACGTGCTGACAAGGAAGCCTGGTGGACCAGTCGGGCTCAAGAAATGGAGGAGGCAGGAGCAGTAGGCAATTACCGCAAGCTCTTCCAGCTAGTCCGCACCACTGGTCCCAGAAAACAAGGCGTCAGTGAGACAATCAGGGACAGCGCGGGTGCGCTGATACACAATAAGGAGCGCCGTATGGCTCGTTGGGCTGAGCACTTTGAACATCAGTTCAGCTGGCCCCCTGCTCCCGGACCTCTTCCTACTCAGGTGGTGCAGGACGAGCCATGGACGGTTAGTTTAGGGCCTCCGTCGGAGGCCGAGGTCCGAAACGCGATCACAGCTCTCAATCGTTTTCGTGCCGCTGGCCCGGATTCCCTCCCACCTGCACTATTTAAGCATGGAGATGAGGTCCTCTGCAAAGCACTGACCTCCCTATTCGAACGTATCTGGAACGAAGAGGGTGCCGGCTAATTGGAGCGAATCGATTATAGTGGCAATATACAAGAAGGGCAGTCGCACAGACTGTGCGAACCACAGGGGTATTAGCCTAACGCCAGTTGTGACAAAATTACTGGCCTCGATTATCGCTCGTCGCCTCACTGCAGAACGGGAATCTCGAATTAGAGAAGAGCAGGCCGGACGTGGCTGTATAGACCATATATTTACTTTGCGGCAGGTGCTAGAGCAGCGCCACGCATACCGCAGACCGACAATAGCTGTGTTCCTCGATTTCAATAGTGCGTTCGATTCAGTCGATCGATCGATTCTGTTCGAAATACTTGCGCGGAAAGGCGTTCCCACGAAATATGTGAACATCCTTCGTGCTCTGTACTCGAACACTAGAGGCCGCGTCAGGGTCTATGGTGCCCTATCGGATAGCTTTTCGACTACAAGTGGCGTTCGTCATGGTTGTCCGATTTCCCCATTTTTGTTCAATTTCGTCGTGAATTCGAGCATGGAGTGTTCACTTGGGGAATCTCACGATGTAGGTGTTGAAGTGCTGCCTGGTGATCGGTTCGTTGATCTAGATTATGCGGACGATATCGTCTTGCTTTTCGACAATGTTGAGGCGGCACAATCAGCCCTGAATAGCCTATCCAGAGTGGTCCCATTATTTGGTATGCACTTCGCACCTTCGAAGTGCAAAGTGTTGCTGCAGGACCACCAGCCACTCGAGGACCCCTTGACGGTTGCTAACGAGGAACTCCAGGTGGTTGATCGATTCACTTATCTTGGCAGCTGCATCAGCAATGATGGGCGCATAGAAACTGACGTGAGCTCACGCATTGCAAAGGCCAGAGCTGCCTTCTTGAGCCTGCGTCAACTTTGACGACAGAATAGAGTTTCCCTCCGTCTGAAAGGCCGTGTATACAAGGCCACAGTGAGGGCCATTCTGCTGTATGGTAGTGAGACTTCGCCCCTTCGGTCTGAAGATCTGAGGCGTCTTCAAGTCTTTGGTCATCGTTGTTTGCGAAGCATTGCTGGTGTCGGATGGCACCAGCGTGTCCGCAGCGATGATGTGCGTAGGCGAGTACTAGGTGGTGATGATCATGCTAGCTCCCTAGAACAACAGATAGCATTAAGTAAGTTGCGTTGGCTCGGGCACGTGCTACGCATGCCTGGTCACCGCTTACCCAAGAGGGCCTTGTTTAGTCTACCAGGTGTAGGATGGCGCAAGGCTCGAGGTGGACAGAAGTTGACTTGGCAGCGGGAAATGAAGTCACTGACGACCAAACTGGGTGCCGTTGGTCCGTCTCGCCTTCCGGGTTGGAGTCCACGTGACTCACCTTGTGCTTGACTCGAGACTTTACAGGACATGGCTCGCAACCGACACCAGTGGCGCGTCTGCTGCCGTCTCCTAATCGGATTGTCTGTTTAAAGTGTGTTTGGTGCTGAGTTATCTGCGGAGTAATGGCTGATTATGACGCGTGGCAGTGAAAGCCGCAAGGAAGCTGTCTAGCCGATGCCGCCTTATCTTTGCACGATAGCCAGCTGTTTGTGACGGTATGTTGTCTACACAAGGTGTAGGCGCCTTGACCCTGAATGTTTGCTTAGGGCATTAAGGTTTTCAGGTAAGTCCCCCTTCTCTCCCTCTTCTTATTATTATTTAATAGGTCCTCATGGTTGTATGGCAGCGATGCATCAGTTCGAATGGCTGATGTACTGCTGTTGATGATGATGATGAGTCGCACATTATTATCAACTTGCCTTTCAGTCTGCACCGTTTCACGGAAAACAACAGGATCTCAAGACCTTCATCAGATAATTTCCCACGCTGGGCCTCTATAATTCTATTCGCTAGTTTTTGAACCTTTTCTATGCAGTCAACATGCTTCCGGAGCTATGGTGCCCAATCCTGCACAAACGGTTTTAGGTGAAGTCATGCCACCGCCTTATATAAGGTAGTCTAGTGTTGCTTAACACTCCTGCAACAGAATAACTTCCGCATCTCCTTAGCGTCATGCGGACGCTGTGCTGTGATTAGAAGCTATTTTACACAAGGATACACAGATCACGTACTCCGTCAATGCGCAGCCATTTCAGGGCGCAGGCATTGTACTCCCATCGATATAGGACAACAATATATGTATTCGCAACAGTCTACGAATATACTTGGAGCCGTCAAGAACCATGGAACTCAAGGAAGGTACAGTTGTAATAGA